ATCCAGAGAATGGGTATAAAATGTTCATCTCTCTCGGATGTAAAGGCTCTAAAGTCCCTCTCTAGTGTCCTCTCCCTCTACCCCATCTAAGCCACATCCTCACACTCGCCTGCCCCCTCTTTGAACTTCTCCCATCCCATTTCACACCTCTGGACCTTTACTCTTGCTCTTCCCTCTGCCTACAAATTCCCTTCCTTGCCTTCTCTGCCTTACAAACTCTTACTCCTCCTCCAGTACCCAAATGAAATGACCGACCTCTCTGAGTGGTACCAATGCTATTCCTATACCTTCCCGGCTTATTATACTATAATCCCTTGTGTTCATTGCTTCCACAGGAGTCAGTTCCTCCCAGAATGAGGTCTGGGTCCTTCTCACATATGCAGGACTCCAGATCACTTGGCAGTGCCTGGCACGCGGCGGCTGCTGGGCATACGTGTGGGGCTGTTATGAGATGGAGGGTCTCAGCTGAGTTGTTCCCAGGTTCTTGGAATCCCAAACAAAGAATTAAACAGGACAATCAGCAGGACTAACAAGAGTAAGGTTTATTAAAATCCAGTGAGAAGAGCTCATGGGCCCCATAGTGGCGGGCAGGACCTGATATTATGGGAAGATCTATAGCTGGAAACTAGAAGTGGTCATGGCCCAGGTGCCTGACTCAACATGCCCAGGTAGAAGCAGAGCTTTGGACCATAAAAGGTTTTTTAGGGGAATGTCATGGCATCCAAGAGCCCATGTGGAAGTGGGGTATGATCAAAACTGCAAAGCAAATGCGGCTTGTGAAGGCCAGAGTCAAGTACTTTTGGTTTTCCACATGCCTGGGGGTCTTAGGGGAACAGGATGACCTTTATCTGTTGGCTTCCTGATATTTAGACATAGTTGTCCTTGTCCTCTGTTGTTTCCTTGTCCTTGCTCTACTTCCTACCTCTGGATGAGTCCCAAAAACACTGGTTCTGGGATCAGACAAACCTTATCTGAAGGTGGGCAGTTCTCTTTTCCTCTCCAAGGCTCAGCTTTCTCCTGTCTAAAATGGAAATTCTAAAACTACTGTCTTCCTTGTGGGAGTGTTGTGAGGATTCGGTGCCTCCCCACCGAAAAGCTCTCGATACAGTTTGGGACACAGTGTAAGTATTCACTGTTGTTAAGAAGTGAGAGCCCTTTGGGGACTGCAAGGTGACTGTCAGCGCCGATGGTGACGAGATGCTAAGGGTGTTGATTAATTGGAGGTGCAGAGTTCATACTTCAGGAAAGACTTGTGTTTCCCAGGAGTGTTGGGGCTCTGGGCCAGCACCCCCAACTTACAGACAAACTGAGGCCCAGTGAGTAGGTCTAAGCACTCCTAATGCTGCTCCTCAGCCCTTCTGGGTCTGAAGGGAGAGGGAGGGAAGAAACAGGACTTGGAACCCAGCACAAGTGTGGGCTGTAAATTTGTAGTAGTCTATGAATATTCCACCTCTTGAGCTATTTGTGGAACTTCAGTCAAGCTAGAAAAATGGATTCATGTAGCTGTTCTGTTGCTATAGGTGAGAAACTCTTGCTTTGCTTTGTCTCCTTTTCTTTAATTAAAAATGTTTACTTTCTCTATGAGCTCCTTATTTTGGGCACTGTATACCCTAAAAATGCCAAATCTCTTGCACCTCAAGATTCTTCAAAGCAAGGAAGCAAAACTGTGGCTGCCCCCACCCCCATTTCCACCCCTTGGAGTAATGGGTGACAGAGGAGCGGGGACGGGAGAGAATTCTTTTCCGGCTTCATAAAGCAAAACCCTGAATTGCAAAGGCTGGGACTGGAAGGAAAGAGATTCTATGCGGAGAAACAGGGCCGTGAGTACAGGCCCCTGTCCTGAGCCTCTCCCCATGACTGCTGCCCCTGCTTGGGCTCTTCCAGAAGGTGGCAGCTGGTCTTTGCCCTCATTAACTCCGCACGCAGCACAGGAACATTCCAGTGGGACTTCTCTGGAGGCAGGGTGAAGTGGGGAGCAAGGTGGACCGGAGAGCAAAGACTGGGAAGCTGGACGATTTGGCTGGCAAGGTTGCCTGTGACATCCTGGCACTGGGAAAAGATAAAGCTGGGCCCTACCCACCAAGACAATGCTGTGGTGCTGTTTGGCCTCTTCAAACAGGTGTCTACACTAGATTCTCTTAAAATCCTGGCAGAGTTTCCAACCCCTTTGTTTTTAAACACTAGAACCCCTTTTATATATCAAAATATCTCACAGACAACCCTCTACCCCGCTAGTAGCTATCAGTGTCACATCCATTGGTGGGTAGTAAGAGCCAACAGCCAGTATCAGTTCAACAGGACTTTTAAGTGTGATTGGTTTTCTAACAGTATCTGGCTATTAGGAAAAAATAGTGGAGCGTGCATGTGGATGGTCTGTTACTGATTCAGCCCAGAAATGCTGTTTACGGAGGTGTATGGATTTGAGGACCCCAGCAGGACCCAGGGCCCCACCCCCACCTGGTGGGTGATCAGGTGGTTGTTTTGCTGTCCTTCCATCTGTGCTAAGCACAGCCCCTATTTTTTTCTAATTTTTTTCATTAAGTTCATTGGTACCTTCTAGGTATACAGTACAGTTACATTCATCATTGGGCTCTTGTACCTTCACATGGTGTATCTTGGTTCTTATTTTTAGCCCATACGCCTGCCCTCCCTTCACCCCCTCCACCCTTCCTTATTTACAAAGACTTTGTTTCCATTTTTTCCTTTTCTCATATTTTTTCTTTTCCCTTCTTTCCTTTCCCCTACCCTTCCTACTTCCCCTGCTCCTGTAGACCTTTTCTTTCTATTTCATATTATCAATTATATATTTGATTCTTATGTACCCTTTTAGTTTTTCACACCAGAGAAACTATTCAGTATTTAAACATGTGTGTCCTATTTCTTTCACTTAAGAGTATTGCCTTAATGTGCATCCATTTAGCTATCTCTAATCTCTCATTTTTTATGGCTGAGTAGTACTCCATTTTATTTCCCAAAAAAAACACGCATATCTTCTTTATCCAGTCTCCAGTTGATGGGCAGTTGGGGTTTTTTCCAAGTTTTAGCTATTACAAACTGTGCCACTATAAACATGGGTATGCATATACTGCTATGGTATGATTCTTTTAATTCTTTTGGAAAGATACCCAGCAGGGGAATATCTGGGTCAAACGGGACTTCAAATCCTAGTTCTTTGAGGTATCTGCATATTGATTTCCACAGCGGTTGCAACAGTCTGCACTCCCACCAGCAGTGGAGCAGGGTTTCTTTTTCCCCTCCGCCCCTCCAAAATGTGTTATTGGTTGATTTCATTATAGCAGCCATTCCTCCTGGGGTGAGGTGGGATCTCAGTGTTGTTTTCATCTGCATCTCTCGAATGACCGGTGATGTGGAACATTTTTTCATGTTTATCTGCTGCTTTTTCTTCTTTGTCTGAGAAATATCTTCTTTTCAGATGCCCATTTTTGAATTGGGTGTTTATTTTTAAGGGGGTCTGATTTTTTAAAGTTTTTTTATACATTCTAGATAGTAGTCCTTTGTCTGAGGAACAGCTGATAAAATTTTTTCCCACACTGTAGGTGTCTTTTAGGTCTGTTGGTGGTTTCTCTTGCACTGCAGAACTTTTTTTAAAAGATGAGATCCCAGCTGTTGATTCTTGTGCTAGTTCCTGTGCTACTGAGGATTTGTTCATAAAGTCTTTTCCTATGCCAGTGTCTTCAAGAGTTCTGCCTAACTTATCTTCCAGCAAGTTTAGTGTTTGTGTTTTCCTATTTAGGTCTTTAATCCATTTTGAGTTTAGTGCATGGTGAAAGATGGGGTCTAGTTTTAATCTTTGGGAGGTTGAAACCCAGTTTTTCCAATACCATTTGTTAAAGAGGCTGTCTCTCCTCCCGTGAGGATGGTCAGCACAGCCCTTTTTGCCCTGTGACTGGACCAGGGGTACTGACTGCCTCTCCCTGCAGGTGAGCTCCAGCCCCCTTCCCCCCCACCCCAAACCATCACCATTAGCCTGACCTTGCCACAGGGACCAGCCTGTTTTCCTTTGCACTTGACAAATCTTTTTGACCTGCTTTCTGTCAGTGATGTAACACATTGCTTTAAGGATGTGTGCGCATAGATTAACCGTAAGTACTGTCTCAGCTTTGCTGTCTTTTGTAAACATCTTGGTTCTGCAGAATGGTCTTTCTTCAGTGCCCCTGCCCCATCTTTTCCAAGTCTTATTTAGAACTCAGGTGAAATGCTTTCTCCCCTAGAGCCTGTCCCTGGACGCCCTAGATGCAAGGGCCCCCAAACAACCACTGAGTCCTCTTTACCCTGTTACTCTATTTTTGTTTTCTTCATGGAGCTTGTCAATGTCTGACATGATTTATTTGTTCATATGTTTGCTTGTCTTCCACATGGAAAATGGAAGCCCCATAATAATAGGGACGTTACTGGTGACAAAGGAGGGCCCGGACCCTAGCACAATTCCATTAACAGAAATAAGGGAGGCATGACCAGGAGTACACAGTAAATGAGCTGCAAAGCTGAACGTCATCCCCAGGTCTCCCAGCCACTCCTCCCCACCATGTTCTTTCTAAATACCCAGTAAGTGGTATAATCAAAATTAGAACCCTAGACTCCAAAGTCAACCTGCTTACTGCCAGACCTTCCATCTCCTCAGACTCAGCCTTGCGCCAGCTGGTCTATTGGCTAGAATGTGAGTTCTACAGCTGTGCTGTCCAATATGGTAGCCACTAGCCATCTCTGTGCACTTCCATGTAAATTAGTTAAAGTTCAGTGAAATGTAAATCCAATTCAGCAATCCCCATTTCAAGTGCTCAATGGCCACAGGTGGCTAGTGACCACTGTACTGGACAGGACGGGTCCTGAACACTCCCACCACTGCAGAACATTGCTCTGATGGAAGGCTCCTAGAATCTGTCTTACTTGTGTCCCCAGTCCGAAGAAGAATTAATGCCCATCCTTTGGCTGAGGGCCCCAGTCTCCTATGCTACTGACTTCTCTCCTTCTTCCCCCAGGAAGAGACGAAGCCTGCAGTGTGGAGGTGACGTGGCCGGATGGCAAGATGGTGAGCCGGAGCGTGGCCAGTGGGGAGATGAACTCAGTGCTGGAGATCTCCTACCCCCGGGAGGAGGACAGACCTCAGAACCCAGCCCCATTGGAGGTGGGCCAAGGCATCTGGGACGCACATCCAGAAAAGCAGGCACAGCCACAACTCCACAGACTAATCTGTGGACTTGGCTTGTAAAGGATAGAAATATTAGCAAAGGGCAGGACTCAAAGTGATTCCTCCATTTGTGGTTTGCACGATACCATCACACTCGTATCTTTTCTGCTTCTTGTAGAAATCTTGGAGAACTGTCAGGTCAACTGTTTTGCACCCATTTTACAGAGGAGGAAAACTGAGGTTAAGAGGAGGAGGGTACCCCAGCCCTGCTGAGGCTGCATACCCAATTGTGAGCAGGGTTAGGAACTGGCCCTCACTGTCTGCTTCCCTCCTGATTCTCTCCAGGTCTCTGAGGAGGCCTCCTATTGCCTTACATGGGAGGGGGCTCAGGGCCTCTTAGGGCTCTTCGAGGAAGTGGCTCTGGACTGAACTCACCAGGATCTCTGGTGCAGATCCTATGTGAAGGGCAATGAGCAGGAGTTTTAATTATATGTTCTTGGTTTCCTCTCCCCACATTCTCAGTGCAAGGGAAAATGTGCTAGAAGGGAGGAGCTCCCCCAAGGCCTGAGGCTAAGAACACCCTTCATGCTGAGGTCAGGGCGACAGCTGCTCTGTGGCTCTGACTAGGAGGAGACCTGAGATGAGACCTTCCTGACTCACCAGTATCTCTGCTTTTGCCCACTTTGCAGTGCGGCCAAGGATTCTCCCAGCAAGAAAATGGCCACTGTGTAGGTGAGTTGCCAGAAGGCCCCAGGGGATCAGGCAGTGGTTGGGATCTCTCTCCAGGCATGTCAGTCAGACCCACAGCAAGGTCTAGGGTGCAAAGGGTGGAAAGGAAGGGAGAGGAAGGTGCTATTTGTTCCAGGGCTCCAGATGCCAAGACAACTGCCATGTGACTCACCAAGTGATGTCAGTGACTAGTAGCTCAGTCACCACAATCCTGGGTCTTGGCATTGCCTACCTGCAGGGAAGATAGAACAGCCTGCAGGGGAGACACACTACCACGTGGACACTGAGGTCCACGGTGATTGGGGGGTGCGATGCTTCACCCTAGTTCAGATGGAATAGCCATACGCCTTGGCCAGCCAGGACAGCAGCCAGCAATAGGCCTGCCAGGCAAGCATGGACACTGCTTGTGGCATTTGGGCAAAATGGTGTGGGGTGGGGCTCAGTACAGAAGGGAGGCTGCAGCTTGGTGCAGTATTGGGATTCGGTTCACCGTGGCCCTGCCAAGTGGCAGCTCCTTGAGGGTCCAGCGACCTGCTGAAAGTTCCCAAGACCCTAGAATGACAAGACTGGACAGCAAGTTACTCCTACCTTGGGCCAAATCTCGTGAGCCAGACAGGCACAGCCCTGCCTCTGTGGTGCTTATAGCCAGTGCAGAAGCCCACAAGTGAGGGCTGGAAGGGACAGAGGCAAGAGCTTGGGAACACAAAGGTGGCACCTAAATCGGTCTAGGGAGGGTCCTTGAGTGAGCAAACTTGAAGCTGAGACCTGATGGGTGATGAGGAAGGAGGACAGGCACAGAGTGGAGTCGAAGTGTCCCACAGAGGTCCTGCCAGGAAGGACACAGCTACAGGAGTCGGGAAGCCAAAGGTGACCCCCAACACTGTCTCTACCCTAGCCTCATGCTAAACAATGAGGCACATAGAAACCCCAGTTTTCTCTTCTGCCAAAAGACTCTTCAAGACACTCAGCCCAGCCTCTCCTCCTTTTCATCATTCAGCAGCCGTACATGTGCCTCCTCTATGGTACCAAGTAACGTCCTGGGTGCTGGGAATGCAGGTCAAGCACCTGCCCTGAGGAAAGCTCGTTCTAGTGAGAGAGTCAGCAGACCCCAAACTCGGGGCCACATGGCTGAGCGAGGCAGTTTAAGAACCCTATAAGCAGGGTCCTCTCTGGAGACTGTTCTGCATGCAGAGGACCTTTAAGCCAAGTCCTGAAGAATGAGAAAGATCCAGCCACAGGAATAGCTGAAAGGAGAGTCTTCTTGGAAGATGCAAGAGCAGGGACAGAGAGCTTTCTAAAGGACAGGCCTTGGTGCATTAGAGGGGTTGCAAGCCTGAGATGAGGAGGAGGCAGGGCCATGTCCAGAAGGGGCTTGAAGCTCCAGGACAGAGTCTAGATTTTGTTCTCAGGGACTTTGGAAGTTAAGCAGAAGAGTGACCTGATGTGATTCACATTCTTAAAAGATCACTCTGACTGCCGGAATGCAGGTGGATTGAAGTGGAAGCCAGGAGGCCAGTAAGGCCACAACTGCAGAAATCCAGGCAAGAGATCATGGTGGCTGGGAATTGGGGGTGGCAGATGAGTGAGAAAAGTGGACAGACAAGAGGTGTACAGTGGGCAGGGTGGATAGGGCACAGTGTGGGATTTCATATTGTATAAGGAGAAGAGAGAATTCAGGAATCATTCCAATTTTTGCTGGGGCTGCTGAGTGAATGGTAGTAGCACTGATTGAGCTAGGAGAGATGGGAATGGAACAGAAGAGATTTAAGGGTCAAGGGAAATGTAACGTTGTGTTTTGGGCGTAGTAAGTTTGAGGTACTGTACATATTAGACATCCAGGTGTCAATTAAGTCGCTGGTGATTGGATTCATAAGTCTGGAGCCCCAAGGAAAGGTTATGGATGAAGTTTGCATTTATCCATGGATGAAGGGGTCACCTACAGAAACCATGGTAGACAGAAAGGAAGATCCAGGACCAAGCCTGAGTGTGTCCCTCCCCAAAGGTAGAGGTCAAGTACAAGAGGAGCCAGCCAAGGGGACTGAAGTGAGGGAAAGGGACCTGTCCAGGGAGGAGAGGGACATGCCCAAGGTCACAGAGTGGGTGGGTATACCAAGCCTGAGATCCAGCCCCTGCCCCACACCTCCCTGGTGAGTACCCCTCCCTCACATTTCAGACACCAATGAGTGCATCCAGTTCCCATTCGTGTGTCCTCGAGATAAGCCCGTGTGTGTCAACACCTATGGAAGCTACAGGTGCAGGACCAACAAGAGGTGCAGTCGGGGCTACGAGCCCAATGAGGATGGCACAGCCTGTGTGGGTGAGTGGGGCCCCAGCCATAGTCCAGCAGCAAGGGGAAGTTGCCATCCACTGGGGAGCCCTGGGTGGGCTCCAGAGCAAGGGCCCCAGCCCCTACCTTCTCCTGTGTGGACAGAGCCACCTTAGACTCATACTGGGTCTCCAAGGAAGACCATGACAGAGGCTTGGAGAAGTCCTGTCACTGCTACCATCACCCGAAAGGCCTCAGGTGCTGTATCCTGGCCTGAAGCTATTATTCTTCTCACATCTCCTAAAACTCGTGTTCCTACCTTGAGATCAACCCATATTTTCGTAGCTGAGATATAAACTGCGAGTCATCTTTTGGCTGAATTTCTGAACTGGTGCTTGTCGTCTTCCTCCCAAACTCTTTCCTTCCCATCCTACCCCTACCCAACCTTCTCTCTTCCCCATTCTCTGTCTCCCTGCCTTACCTTTTTGCAGCTCAAGTGGCCTTTTTAGGTGGGTATTCTTCGACTGCCTTTAGAATCTCTGAGCCTCTCTCTTGGGCCTCGTATCTTTCTGTAGGACTTGGACTTTGCCTTCAGTTATATGCACTTTAAATCCCATCAATAAAGGAAAAAAACAAAACAAACTAATAACCTTTGTGAAAAACTAAATCTCTCTCCTGCTGCCTGTCTTTCTCTGCACCCAGTAGACTCTGCCTCATGCTCCCTCTGAATGGACAGCAGAGGTGGCCATCTCTGAAAAGGGAAGTTTGGGAGATACTCCTACAGCCATAGTTGTTTGTGAAGCCTTTCTTTGCACGTTTTCTGAGAAAACAAAAAAGGAAAGTCTCCCATGTTCCCCATCCAACCTCCCCCATCCCTTCAAAAGAATCAAGACAGTCCTGTCTCTTCTGTTTCTTCTAGTACCTTGGGAGTTTATTTTGCCCTTAACAAACATGGCTCTCAGGTGGTCGCTTGCTCGGTTGATTGGATAATGCATCGTGTGCCCGCTGCTTTGGCCTGTGCTGTTGCTGCTTTGTGTGCCCTGAATTCCTGTGGTAGCAAAAGCCTTATTGGGGTTGATGGTGATGATGGGAGGGCAAAGGGTGGCCCTTTGGGACTCTTGATAAAAATGTTAAAGTTTGAACTTGCTAAGTCTTCTAGTCTCTTTTCTGGAGAAATATGCCAATAAATTATCTACTAGATATTAGCACCTAGCTGGTAGGGGGAAAATGTGAGAAAGTAGATGCTAGTTGGAATGCTGAATTAGCAGCAGGCCTCCCCACCAGGAGGTGATTGGAAGACAAGTCTTGATATAAGGAAAGCACAACTCCCAGGCAAGAACAGTGATTTGGGTGTATGCAACAATCTTCACATTTGGGGAACCAGGGTTTGGACCAGAAATGTGTGTGGAATGAGCAAGGACAGACATAGGAGGAGTACTCTGGGCCTTTTACGTGGGAGAAGTCACATCTCCCCTATAGGGCTCACTTTCCCTAATCTAAATGGTGAGAGAATTGGGCTAATATTCCCCTAAGGGTATTTTGGGGTTTGTTTGTTTGTTTGCTTTGCTTTGCTTTGCTTTGTTTTTCTGAGACAGAGTCTCACTGTGTAGTCCAAACTGGCCTTGAAGTTATTATGGTAAGGCCAAGCTAGCCTTGAACTCACAGCAGCCCTCCTGCCTCAGCCTCCCAAGTGCTGGGATTATAGGTGCACATCACCATACCCCATCACCATGCCCCATCAGGACTCTTTCCTTTCTAAAACTCTTCAGTGTGTGGCTGGATATAGATACGGCTAGTCTCAAGCTACCCTGATTTCTAGAAAGATCCTTGCTAGTTAGCCTTTTCAGTATCCTTAGAAACCTGGAAGTTCCTGTAGCCTGAGCAGCCTTTGAGCATGATATAACACCACAGAATATGCTCACAACCAGCCGCAGGTAGTGAAGACATGTTATAAATCACAGAACTGTTCTTCATGGGGGAAAAAGTTGCTCTGAGATATAATAAAATCACACTTAAGAATGCAGCAAGCCTTTTAAAAACATATTTAACAAAAAACTACCCTTTTCTGATGTCATAATAACACACCCAATAAATCACAAATATGAATTCCTTATAGCTAATGCTGTTTTTACACTTAGAACAGGAGCTTAAATGAAAAGTTTTAAAATGAGAACAGCTACAATTTCCCTGAGAAGCATATAGCAACTAAAACTCACTCTACTTCTAGAAAGCCCATTCCTGTGTATCGACACAAATTAAAGATCTGGAAAGGCCTGAGAGATGAGGCTCAGAGAGATGAAGTGATCAAGGTCACAGTGCCCAAGGTCACAGAGCCAGCCGGTCCCACACCAGGTTGGGAACCTTTCCTACTACGCCTCTTGTCAGAGGGGCCGTAGCTGCTCGGTCACAGCTCACACTATTCCCTAGTCACTCTGGAAGCTGCTGCCTTGTTAGAAATGTACGAGTAGATCTAAGATAGTGAGATAAGCAAAAACCCAACGCACAGGGAAGAATGGCTGCAAATGCAGCAGTAAATGACGAGATAACAGAGCCCATTAGCTGGCCACACACAACAGCGGGAGAAATAAGGGGCAGAACAACTAGTGAGAAGCCTGTCAAGGACATCAGGAAATTCAGGATGACACCGGATCTCAGAAGAGGCCTTGAACTCCTGCACATTGAATTTTATTGGTAGGAGGGGTAAGATGCATAACCAAGAGGCATTCAAGGCCTCTCCCATTTAGAACACAACTATAGCATCGACATCCCGCATAGGAAGGCTTTCCACTTGATCCATTCGCTCACTCAACAAATACTGGCTGGACATCTGCTGCGTGCCAGGGACTGAGCTGGAGTTGGAGCACACAGTGTCAAGCCAAGGAAACGTGGCTGCCGTCATACTGCCTGTCTTCGCCCAGATGGAGGAGCTGAGTGCAGGGAGGGGAAAAGAACATCAAGAGATTTTCTGAAAAGTCTAGCTAAACTCTCGGCTTCCTGCGCCAGGAAGCAAGTTCTCTTTACCCATTCACTCATCCACTTATTCACTCAGCAAGCATTCATTGAGAACTTCCTGTGTGACAACTCTCAGTCCCTCCCATGAGGAAGGTGACAAGCTCCTTTCAATGAAGAGGTCAGGTATCACCCCAGAGATGCCTGTGTGGGGGGAAGTGTGAAGCTAAAAAATACCACAACGGCACAGGGAGGTACTGGATTTTCTCTGCACCCCCTCCCCCTGCCCAAATAGGACCCACTCAGTGAGCTAGGAAACGAGGCTGCCTGAACCAGGGGCCTCAAGTGCAGTCCCTTTACTGGCCGTCGCTTTACCAGCCACAGAGATGTGTGGGTGCAAAGCCACACCCCAGCTAACTAGGCCCAGAATTTTCAAGGCCCTCATTCTTCTGATTCTTCTTCATCTGAGACCCATAGAGTCCTTGCTGTACCATTCTGAGCACAAAGAAGTCCCATCCGCCCCCCTCCGCCGAGGACTCCTGACATCTTTGTCAGATTATACTGGACCTGAAGATGTAACAAAAATAGCCAAGGCCTTCAGGGCCAGATGAGCAATGAAGGGGCCTGGAGAGGGTTGACGCAGATGGAGGGGCCACGGCACACCCCACCGGAGTGGGGACATGGGCCTGTGTGGCTAGACTTCCCATTTTTCAAGAAAAGCTGGATACTAACGGGAGCAACAGCACCATTTCCATTCTGTCCAAGAATAGAGCCTCTCCTCGGTACTATAGCCCTGGAAATGACAATAATAGCTTACACTTAGTGAGCTCGATGTGTCTGGGTCAGATCTAAACTCTACAAGAATCAACTCGCTTAATCCTCACAACAATCCGAAGAGGAAAGCACTATAATCATCCCAGTTCTACAGATGAGCTAAATGGTGTCAGGATCACAACAGCGAGGACAAAGTGGGATTGGGTTCTTCTATTCATTGGGTTCCTCTTCATTTGGGTGGTTGACTGGTTTATGCAAAAGCTACAATCTGGTATGCTGCCCTGAGTCGTGCTCGGGAGCAGGAAAGGAGAAATAGAGTCCCTGGAAGGGAAGGGAACCCAGCCCAACCTCCCTAAGGTCAGGTCCAATCCTGCAAGAAGTGTTGATTTTACTGGTGAGGAGAACATTCTCGCTGGGGAACGTGGCCGCCTTTTCTGGGGCAGAAGGGCGACTCATCTGCCATCCACTTTGAGCATATACACATTTGCCAGCCCTACTCTGGGAAGGTGCCATTCTGAGGGCCAGGAGTTTGATTATGAGTCACTCTGGCTGCTATGGCCCCCTCCCAGGGTCTGGGGATCACGCTCAGACGGTGTCGTGGGACTGCAACCCAAGCACAGACTCTAGTGTAACCTCCAAGAGCCCCTGGGAGACAGAATGAACGCTTCATTTTTTTCAGAGAGCCAGCTGAGCTTTTCCACAGATTCCAGACCAATACCTCCAACCAGACTCCAGCCTGGGAGGCAAGCTGAGACCCTCCCATCATCTCCCTCTTCAGTATCACCCCTCCTTTTGCTTCTTCTGTGTGGCCAGAACCCCAGACAGGAGGCCAGGAACCTGCCAGGGACTGATGCTGCGTCTCCTTAGCAACAGGCACATCCTAGAAGGAGGCAGAAGGAGGGCAAGAGAGCTTGAGCTGCTTAACAGAGAAGATAATGCCAACCTCTGCCTTCGGTGGCTCTGTCCTCTTAAGGAACTGCTGTTGAACAGTGAAGTGGTCAAAGGGTAGGACATCAGAGGAAAAATGAGAAGCAAGAAAAGACAAAAAAAATACCCTAATGGAAAGGAGCTAACATTTATGGAATGCCTACCATAGGCCAAAAATTTTACATACATGTCTCCGTTAATCCTCACACCCATCCTAAAAGACAAATGTGATTAGTCTGTTTTATTACCAAAGAAACTGGATCTTAGAAAGAATAAGTTACCCAAGGACACAGCTAGCTAAAGTGGCAAACACTGTAATTCAAACCCAAAATTGTTAGCTCCACTGCCCGAGTTCTGAAGCCTTATGCTATGCAATCTCCAGGCAGTTGACAAGCGGGAACATTATTTAACTGGTTGCTCCCTCAAATGCAATGCTTAGGCACTATAGAAGGGAAACTGTTCCAGTGGTTGGACCTGTACACCTGTGCACACTACTGATAAAGTTTCCTGCTGAGTGACATATGGCAAAGACTAAGCGATGATTACATACTATTGTAAAAGATGCCAAGTGCTGGGAGAGGGCACTAAGGCAAGACGGAAATGGCCAGTGGAGACATACTGTCATTTAAAATAGGCTGAGTCCGGTGGGCCTCCCTGAGGAAGAAGCATGTGTGCAGAGACTAAAAGTAGGTGACATGTCCTTGAGCCTCAGTCGCTCATCTGTTAAATGGGGAAGAAACCAGCGACCGGGCATGGTGGCGCACACCTGTAATCCCAGCACTTGGGAGGCCGAGGCAGGAGGATCGTTGTGTTTGAGACC